GAGGTTGAGAGAAAAGGCCCACTGAAGATGATCGTGTTTTGTTGTTGTTTGTTTGTTGTTGGTGTTTTGTTTTGTTTGGCTTTTCAGATCACCTGCCCCTTTCTGAACTTCCTGGATGAATTCACATCAGCAACTAAGACTCAGGCATCTTTGTTTTCCCCCAGGGCCTACATCAGTGTCTGCACTTAGTAGGCATGCAATGAATGTTGAAGGAATTATGAATAAATATGCTGCCTCTTTGGGCACATGTGGTTAGGGTTAGTGAATAGCCTCAGAAATCAAGTGACCTTTGACTTGTGTTTTGTTGAAGTCAGTTGAGAGGTTGATAGATAAATGATTTTTACAGGGATTTTGATTTTCTTTTGAAGGGACTTCCCCAAAGCAGTGAAAGGAAATCTTCTAGAGTTGTTGAAAATGTTTTCCTGGACTTACTCGTGTGTATGAAGTAAAAAGCTGTGATTTAGAATTTGGGGGTTTATCAGCCCTTCTGTGGCTTTTCCATTTTGCTTTCTTTTTAAAGTTTTACTTATTATGACGAGAGGTCAAGGTCTGTGAAGGTAATCCCTTGTACCCAATTTGAGGCAGTAACTAATTTCTCTTTTGCTTTCCTGCTATGTCACAATTTAACCCTTGAAAACCTTAATTCACTTCTGCATTGTGTCTTCTGCCTCCTTCAGCTGTTCTTGTTCAGAAAAACACTTGTTTTTAAAGGCCATAATAACTTTAGAAACGAGATAAATTTTGTAGTTGTGAAGTTGTATGGCTGAATTCAGTCAGCATATATTAAATGAATGTTTTACTAATCTATGGTTATGTAACCATAGATTAGTCCCTAGAGTATTTAATGTGCCATATTCATTGACTATAAAATAGTGAAAATATATAACCAACAAGTTAATAACCAGGAATGGAATTTGAAAGGTTATAATTGCTAATCAAATTTAAAACATTTATTAGCATCATTATTAAGAGGGATACAAATAAGACCTGTTCTTATCCTCTGGGAACTTACAGTCTAGTTGAGCATAAATAATGTAAACATAAATTGCTAGAAATAGCTACTAAGTAATATTCAGTGTGGCATATTGAAAACATTCAGTAAACAGTTGCCTCACATATTAACTTGCAGTCATGCCATTCTTCTAACAGAAATATGATACTGATAAGAAATAAAGGAAGGATTAATTAGGAAAACTTTCATGGAGAAAATGAGTTTGTCTTTTATGTGTCACATAGGAAGATGATCATATGCAAGATGTTTGTGTTTGAGGGGGTAAAGGTGATATAAGTGGAAAATGAGAAAGATGGTTGGTGAGATGGAGTTTGGTGGTAATTTGTAGGAAACCTTAAAGACCACGTAGAGGAGTTTGTATTTGATAACAGAAGTGATAGAGACCTATTGTGGTGCTATGGGCAGAGGATGGCTTTATTAAAATTGAGATTTATATTTAGATGATTCTAGTCAGCACTTGAGTATAGTGAAAACTGAGGTAAAAAGAGTAGGAGAAAAGACTTTGGTGCAGTTCTGGAATGGGATACTACAACAGAGACAGAACTATGACAAGGCCCTTTCTCACCAGTTTTTAAACAGTGGGAATTACATTGAAATGATAAGATCAATAACGAGCCTTGAATGGAACAAGAGCCACAGCACCCCTGAAATCAGTACTACTCCTTTATTCTTCATTGTTGGTGGTGCTAGGATATATTAGGTGTTGACTGATGGAAACAGTATCATGATATCTTCTCCAATTAAGCTCAAGATACCTTTCTTACAGCATCTTTACTCATTATTCATCTGTAGTAGTTCTTAACTGTCTCAATTGGGTGTGATTTCTGACACCCTACAACCTTCCCTGTCCCCACCTCAGGCACATTTGGCAATGTTGGGAGACATATTTTTTAGTTTTAACAACTAGGAGGCCACTACTGGCATCTAGCAAGTAGAAGCCCAGGATAATTATTGCGAAAGTCTTACAATGCATGGGAGAACCCCCCCAGGGCAACAAAATATCTAGTCCAAAAAGTCAGTAGGGCTGAGGCTGAGAAACCATCAGTTATGGGAATGAAGCATGAGCTCTCAGAGCTGCACAATGAGTCCCAGAACCTAACTTCTATTATATAACAACTTCAGTTGACAAAATGTTTTATTTGTTTAGTGAGTCTGATGTACCTCTGAAGACGGCAGTGCCTCTGTCTAGACCTGAGGCCTCAGAAACAGGAAAATCAGAAGGGTACCTGCTTGGATTTTCTACTTTTTATAAAATGGAGTTAGAAATCTCTCTTAAAGATTTGTCATCTAAATGTTATTTATTAAATTGATAAAATGTGCCTTTGGAGTTGCTTAGCAACTTATGGAAAGCTTGCTTTTTAGAAGCTCATTTGTTTGTTTAAAACTAGGGTAGGTTGCATATTATTAGCTACATTACATAAATCAACAAAGAAATGTACACTGAAAATGGAATAAGATGTTTCAACACATTTTCTGCTCTCGGTGTCTGGCAATTAAAACACTCTAATTGTCTGGTAGAATTGCATGAAGTATTTGACAAACATTATTTATGTATGAAACTTCAACATAATATTGAGTATGTAAGAGAACCAAAGGGGAAAAATTAAGCAGGTTTGTCATAAAGTATGTGTTTATCTTAACCTTTCTTCTTCAAAAATCTTATCTACTAAGTACTTTTATCAGACACTAATTATACTCTTTCAGAAAAGAATTTCTCCCAACACCCTTCAGTGCCTGCACCCTTTAATCATATCTCATTACATCTACCTAATCCATATCTTTTTCACATTGCCAGGGCTCATTAACAGTTTTAAAAGCCAATCTTGGACATTATTATTCCTTGTAATTGAGATGAAAATAATGTCAATAATATTTTATTTCTAAAATGTAATGGATCATTTAAAATTTGTTCTGAAGCCATTTCTACTTTAAATATTAATGAGAAATTAACTTTCAAACATGCATTAAGCTAGCAGGAATGGTGAGATGTGTCTGAAAACCCTGAAGCACCTTTTTGAAGGAGAAGTTATTTTTATAAGCTGTTTTAACAGTGGGTCATCAGTCACTTTGAAGGGAAGTGATCCTTGATTAACAGTTGGCTGATACTGTGCTTCCACAGATGTGTAGCAGCAATACAGGTGCTACCTATGAAACAGGACAGGTAATTCTCAAGACCTGAGCATCTTCTCTTTATTTAATTATTTATTTTTTTAAAGATTTTACTTATTTACTTGAGAGAGAGAGAGAGAAAGAGAGAGAAAGCAGGAGGGGGAGATGGTCAGAGGGAGAAGCAGGCTTCCCGCTGAGCAAGGAGCCTTGGAGTGGGACTCAATCCTGGGACTTTTGGATCATGACCCCAGCCACCCAGGCACTGATAAGCATCTTCTTTTTCTGATTGAAAAGGTAAAAAAGTTTGAATGGGCCTTCATTTTTGTGTATTGCCTCAACTGTTGTAGACGAGACAAACAAAATGTCTCAAATAATGAACTGAACATCGACATCATGTTTCCCGTATATTTAAAGAAAAGATTGTAAGTATGGCTAGTCCTTTATTATGTTTGATATCCCATTTTTAGAAAAGGAAACCTGGATCAAATTTGCAGTTACATGGCTAACGTAGAGCCTCTTGATAATGACTTTCCAGGACTTGTCAGCCAAATCCTGCCTCTTGGGATATAGCTACATAGGACTAATACATTATTCTCAAAAATGGAAGCTTCCTCCACCATTATAATTGAGTTTGAGATTCTTTCTTGAAAATTATCATTAGCAGTCTTACGAAAAGGGTGGCTGAGCCTGGGTGGCTCAGTCAGTTGTGTATCTACCTTCAGCTCAGGTCATGATCCCAGGGTCCTGGAATCAAGCCCCATATTGGGCTCCCCACTCAGTGAGGATCCTACTTTTTTCTCTCCCTATCCCTCTCCCTCTGCCTGCTGCTCCCCCTGCTTGTGCTCTCTCTCTGTCAAATTAAGTATTTTTTTTTTTTAAAAGAGTCTTAGGAAAAGCTTAATGGTCCATTATTCATTTATTGTGCATATACTATTAATCTATAATGTTTGGAAAAAGAAACACAAACCCAAAGTCATTATTCCAAAAAAGCCCAGGTTTTGTACAAGTACCTCAAGCTGTTTTCCAGTAGCAAAGGAGATGTAATAAAGCTTTCATTCAGCTTTAATTTTTTTTTTTTCATTTATTAGTTCTGCCAGACAGGAATTAGCTCTTATTTGGAGTATTTTATTTGACATTTTTAAAGTTTTTTCTTTGGAATATATATATATATATATATATATGTGTGTGTGTGTGTGTGTGTGTGTGTGTGTGTACACATATACATACACACACACACATACATATACATATTTTTTTTGTCTTTTGGAGTTTTATGTTTCTTTTGATTTCTCTCCACTACTATGGTACAGTTTGTTGTTGACTATAGTAAACTCTTAAGAAGAACCAAATGAAACCATATGATAGTTGGTGAGTTTGGTGTGCTGTGTCTTTCACAGTTGTTAAAGTAAGACAATTAGAATTTTAGGATCCCTCATATTAAGAAAATACTCGACCTTTTTTCTCTTAAATTCTTTAAAATTTTTTATTCATAATTTTTGGGAAGGGTAACTTTGTGTATGCTCAATTATACACAATTTTTCATGTATTTTCTTTTTGTTTTACTGAAATAGTTTGCATATTCAGATCTTACCGAACCTTTACAGTGACACCATAGACCACAGACGATGCTTACTTAAATGGCATTTCCCTCCTTTTATTATCAATTAGTTCTACTAATGAAAAAATTTGGTGAATGTAACAAAATGCTATAACACTACAAGAATTTTAAAAATTACAAATATGGTATTAATATAGTTTAAAATTACTTTTGCTTTTGTAACCTAATTTTTATCTTTGTCTGTTTCTCTTCTTATTAGAAGTTTTGCCTTTTCTCTATTGATCATTTATTTTTTTTTTATTCTTTTCATGTTATTTTCAGAGGTTTCTCATTGGCCAGTACTATGAAGGTTGATGGCATGATCATTCACTTCACATCAAAGGATATCTACTCATCAGTGTGCTGTTGTCAGTCAGAGGTTTCCAAATATGTGTTCTCCAACTCAAGGAAAAGTAGCTGGATCCAGGCAGAAACATGTCTAGGAACTCCCTAACTATGCATGCTGTGTCTCCAGAGAAAGCTGCTTCAGCATTCCTCCTGGTTTTTGTTTTTGTAATACTTTTCTTGACAGCATTCTCCAGACTCTAAACTACTAGAATAGTTCCTAAGTTCATCCAGATCTTTCCCATGTCTGAATTCTTGGTCCTCTTCCCACCCCCTGGCTCACAGATAAAAAAGAAACAACAATAAAGGAATAAAAATTGTTTGTTTCTGTCTGACTGAATCATTCCAGTCTTGAAGCACCCTGGTGGTTTAATTAACCTTGTTATTGCATTTACTATCTCCCACATACTTGTTTGTGGGAAAGTGCTCTTGGCATTCTCCTAGTTAGAAAAAGGAACACCAGGACTGTGACACTGGACTTTGCTCTTGAAGTGCATGGCATGATGGCAGCATAAAGCTTGAACAAGCTTAGTTTTTCATTGATGGGTTGCAACTGGCAAAGCACCATCTTTCCCTGACACTGTATGACAGCTTTGATGAATTCTAGGCCATTCTTCCTTCCAGAGCAACAGTTCTAGCCTAGCATGGGGTTTGGTACCATTATAAAGAGAAACATGGTGGCTCTTGTAAGAGGAGTTTGGAAAGCTTTACCCCAGCAATCAAGATGTATGTTAAAATGATTAACTGAATCCTGTGGATACACTGCTTCGACACTATGTAAAAGAAAAAGAGAAAATCTGTTATCCTCACTAATTCCTCATAAATAGGCAGGATTTTTCAGTGAGCACTATCTTATCCTGGAATTAATTCTTTCAATTCTTGTCATTTTTTTTCTTATTCTTAAGACTATATGAGAGAGATATTGGCAAAAGATTTGAAATAAAGGACACAAGATGAGGTTGCCTTTGGATTGTTGGATTTCAAGAGCAGCACAAAACAGATTAGTACAAGGATGTGCAAAGTTCTCTTAAAAGAACAGATATATTCCTGTGCAGCAGGGTTTGACATAAACTAGTTGAAGGTTTTGACATATCCACAGAAGGAATTTTAGTCATGGAAGCAGATAACAGGAAAGTCAGAAGCAATATGGGCTAAAGCCTATCCAAGTATGGTTCAGAGATGAGGGAGTGGAACTTAATTCCATTGAACCTCAGTCCCAAAGACAAGGCTGTTCATATGGTGAATGAGTATCAGGCTATTTATACTTAAAGCTATTAAACATTCTATTTACAAAAATATCTTCATTCTGAATCCATGTTTTTCAAGTAATATTTTATTATTTGGCTTCCAAAGTATCTCTGCTCCAAGGATATATACTAATCACATAGATTTCATATATATCATTTATCATATATATATATACACACATATATATGTGTGTGTGTGTGTGTGTGTGTGTGTGTGTGTGTGTGTGTGTTTAAGTAGGCTCCATGTCCAATGTGGAGCCCGACACAGAGCTTGAACTCAGGACCCTGAGATCAAGACCTGAGCTGAGATCAAGAGTCAGATTCCTTAAATGAAACAAGATGGGATTGGGAGGGAGACAAACCATAAGTGACTCTTAATCTCACAAAACAAACTGAGGGGTGCTGGGGGGAGGGGGGTTTGGAGAAGGGGGGTGGGGTTATGGACATTGGGGAGGGTATGTGCTATGGTGAGTGCTGTGAAGTGTGTAAACCTAGCGATTCACAGACCTGTACCCCTGGGGATAAAAATATATGTTTATAAAAAATAAAAATTAAAAAGAATCTAAAAAAAAAAAAGAGTCAGATTCTTAACTGACTAAGCCACCCAGGTGCCCCTTATGTATATCATTTATAAGAGTAGTTATCTTGGGGTGCCTGGGTGGCTCAGTGGGTTAAAGCCTCTGCCTTCGGCTCAGGTCATGATCCCAGGGTCCTGGGATCGAGCCCCATATCGGGCTCTCTGCTTAGCAGGGAGCCTGCTTTCTCCTCTCTCTCTGCCTGCCTCTCTGCCTACTTGTGATCTCTGTCTGTCAAATAAATAAATAAAATCTTAAAAAAAAAGAATAGTTATCTTTAGGTGAGCAATTAACTATATTCCTTCAGTGAAGTTTTTTTTTTCATTTAAATTATTCATCATAAATGAATAATTTGATTTATGGGTCAAAACATTAGTGATTACTGTGCATCTACCCTTAATAGATGGATGGATTTTTGGCATGTTGATAAAATCAGGGTGTAAGGTTTTCACTATGAGGGGCAGATCCAGGATTATAATATATTTGCTAAGATCAGCTTTTCCTTTTGGCCTTTTTTGTGATGTACAACATGAACATACAACAATAGGATTGTTTGTGGGTGGGAAAGTAGTTGAAGTAAATTATTATTGCTCAAGCAGTACTTGTTTGAAATAAAATATTACACTTAATGCATTGTTGTATATTAATAGGGTGGCTATAGAGTCAAAAAGACCTTCTGAATTCTGGATTCACCACTTATTAGCTGTGAGATCACCTTAATTTTCATGGACATCAGTTTCCTCTCTAAAATGAGTATATTGTTAAAACTTTCTCATGGGGTAACTTTGAAATTAAATGAGATAATTCATATAAAGTGCTAAGTAAGGTGCTCAGAGTATGGCAAGAAATGAGTGATAGCTAATGTTTTGAGCATCTGTCACTAATATTTATAGTATTATCATAATAATATGATGTAAATTAAGCATATGACTGGGGAAGCAAGAGTTTGACAGAACCAATTGCAGAATACTTGTGATCATATACAATTGAGCCTTGAACAATGCAGGGGTCAGGGGCATCAACACCAGTGCAGTCGAATATCTGTGTCTAACTTTTGACTCCTCCAAAATTTGACTAAACACCCTACTGTTGACTGGGTGGATGCCTTACTGATAAATAAACAGTCAAGTAATATATGTTTTGTATGTTATATGTATTATATATACTCTATTCTTGTAATAAAATAAGCTAGAGAAAATAAAATTATTAAGAAAATCATAAGGAAGAGAAAATACATTTATAGCACCGTACTGTATTTATAAAAAAAAGTCCACATATTAGTGAACCTGTGTAGTTCAAATCTGTATTGTTCAAGGATGAACTTGTATTTGTATTTGTATTCAAATCTGTATTGTTCAAGTAGTTCCTAAAAACTATTCCTAATCTAATATTTAGATCAGTACAATTACCATCTCTGTCCTCCTCCACAGTACAAAATTTTATTTTTAATCCCCACTAATTCTTATTATTCATACTATTTGAGAAACAGATACATTAATGAATGAATAATCTTCTAAATGTTCTCAAGTTTCAGTGGCCTAATACTATAAAGATTTATTACTCCTTTATGTCACATTCCAGTGTGGGTCAGATAGAGAGTGGGGGTGGGTCTTTATTCCATTATGTCACTCAGAGCCCACTCTGCCATCTTCTAGAGCCCTGGAGTCCTCCATTAGATACTCTGTACTAGATAGGGAGGGAAGAAAGCTTGTTGAGGATTCTGAAAGATAATATCTTACCCACTGGCCCAAAGTCAGTCACATGGCCTAAGCTAATCACATAGGAGGTTTGAGAATGTAATTTAGTTATGTGTTAAGGAAGGAAAATAAATGGGTTTGCTGAACATATAGCATTATCTCTGCTTTACCAACCATCCAAACACTTCCACCAACAAAACTAAGTTTTATGATTCTTCTCTAAGTTTTCATTAATTAACAATGGTAAGGAACTTCTGCTTACAAAATTTATTTGCACATAATTTTATAGAGCAAAATATCCATATTAGAAAGACTTTATCAATAGGGACTGGAATCTCAGAAGGTTTTCTACTCACTTTGATAGTTTTTTGTTCTATAGGAATTCTCTGGGTAACTTTTTGTGGAACATTTCTCCTACTTCTTCATGTCTACTTAAGGCTCATATATGTGAAAGAGATTATATCCTCAAGTGAGCATTTTCCTTGCTTTTATCATCTTGTGTCATTATCTCCACATTCTTTTATTATAGTTGTTATTGAGAGCATACTTTCAGATTTAGCATGGAGATTAACTGTAAAATAAGTAAATAGTGAATTGTTTTGTTAGAATGAAATGTAGAAAGTCAATGCTTTTAAGAGGTTTTTTCATTTTAACTGCTAATTCTGAGTACAATACTCAAAAAACTGCAGATTGACAACCTTAGATTTAAGAATTTTTTCCTATGAAGAACTGCTATGACACTGAAATTTACACACGGTGCAAGCTTTGCTATGATACTGCAAAATATGACTTTTTCTAAAGTTTCACTTTACTGATAAGAGAGTTCCTTATATAAAAACCTATGTAGCACATGGGTTCCCAGGCATTCTCCAAAGGATAGACTTAGAATGTTTTTTTGAGGTGCTTATTCATCATGGCTAAGTAAATAGAAAAGAGCTTCCTATTTATTTTACACTTTTTTTGTAATTTTATTTTTTTTCAGTGTTCCAATATTCATTGTTTACACTTTACCCACAAATCACAAATGATAGCAGCTAACACTCAACACTCACATTTTAGTAATACTAATAATCTGTTGGAGACTGGTTATGTATATTAATGATTTCATTTCCACTAAGTATTTTAAATTATATTGATACTATTTATTTAGGAGGTATAACTATTTCAATTATTTTCTCATAATTAATATGCATATGTGAAATTGGTCTTTTGTGTTGACATTTTATTTGAAATCAAAATAAAGCTTAAAAAGAATCAAACTATCCCTTATTCTTGTTTTTTCTTTAAATTTTTAAAAAAATATTTTATTTATTTATTTGAGAGAGAGAGCAAGCAGAGCAAGAAAGGGAGAGAGAGAGAACACAAATAGGGGTGTGGGGCAAAGGGAGAGGGACAAGTAAAGTCCCCACTGAGCAGGGAGCCCAATGCAGAGCTCCATCCCAGGATCCTGAGATGATGACCTGAGCTGAAGGCAGATGCTTAACAGTGCACCCCTCCCTTATTCTTGTTTAATCAAAAGACATATTTGTGATACTCATTAAGGTACATTCTTAAATGGCCGTTTTATTTTT